TTGCGCAGGCAGTGCAATTCTCAGTGCGACGGCTCAGAGCTGTGGTTTTCTTGTCTTGCCAATTGATTGTAAGCGCAATAGACACCGTCCTTTCACTAAACTAATTAATTTGGACTTGACCTCGGACAACGCTTGGAAATTCCTTGAATTTGTACGTGACAATTCCAGTGTAGTTGCATGGCACATGGGCCTCCCATGTGGTACGTGCTCCCGAGCACGAGAGATCCCACTCGCGCACGGCGAGCGAGGGCCCCAGCCGTTGCGCAACGAACAGTTCCCAATGGGGGTTCCGTGGATGAACCAGGTCGACTCCGAAAAGGTTCGTCAAGCTAACATGTTGTATCAGCATGCATGCAACTTTGCTCTCACTCTCATTCGATTGAGTCATGTCTTCACGATCGAAAACCCGTCAAATAGTTGGCTATGGGAGCTCCCATGCATGACTCAGCTGACGCCCGAATGTGTTTTCGTCGACTTTCATTCGCGCATGTTTGGCGGAGCTCGCAAGAAATGGACTTCATCACTTTCTCTATGTTGAACGTTTTCTGTGATGACTCTCACCCACACCAACCATGGGGTCCAGATGAACATGACCACTTCAATACCGCAAAGGAAGCTCAGTACCCCGTCGGACTCACTGAGGCATACTCCGATGTTCTTGCACAGTGGGGGGTGGCTAAAGGATGGGATCCCCCATCCACCGCAGAAAAAGCTGTCCTGGCGGCCCGGCCGTATACCCAGCTTAGAGGTCGTAAGATGCCCCAGCTAATCCTGAAATACCTTGAGGTTGTCTCTGTGCAAATGTCCGACTTACCCACGGTCGACTCCAAGCAGCGGATCACTCACTCCGTTCAACAAGTCCCCAAGAATTCCAAACTTCTGAGAACTGAAGCAAAACGGGGTGGTTGGTTGTGTGTCTTCGGAATTTTTCGAACAATGGAACAGTTTGTACAGGCGAGCAGGGCATTTGAACACCCTTTCGATTCACTTCTTCCCGTGCCTGACCGCTTGCTAACTTGCTTGTTCGAGGCCATGACTATGAGTCCCAGGGAACTCACAAAAGAAAGGCTGCACACTCTCAAAGAACTTCGCGTTTTGAGGGAGAGGTTCGCGTGTGAGGAGGCCACTCTGCACACAAAGGTTCCTACCCATATATGAGGCACTTGGTCAAAGACAAACAGTTTCTTATGTTGAGATATTTGGCCGAAAGCATTGACTGGCCAGATGTTTCTTTGCATGAGGAGCTGGTGCAAGGTTTCAGGCTGGTAGGTGAAGGGTCTCGCTCGCATGTGTTTCGTTGGGAACCTAAGCCAGCACGACTCTCTCCTGAAGAGCTTATGCAGAAAGCAAAGTTCGTTAGGCCTGCCATTTTAGGTAGAGTGTCACATATGGACAAGCCTGAGTATCTTGCCGAGCTGAACGCGATCACCAGATCGGAGGCGGATGAGAAGGGCTGGCTGCAGGGTCCACTCTCTTTCGAACAAGTGAAGGCAGAGGTGGGCAGTGATTGGTTGCCGGTGCAAAGGTTCGCAGTGAGACAGAAGAATAAGCTTAGGCCCATAGATAACTTCTCTGAAAACTTCGTCAATGAAGCTTGGACAGTTCCCGAAAAGATCGACCTCCATGCTCTGGACCAATTGACGTGGTTGACCTCGATCCTTTACAGACATGCTGGCCGAGAGAGGTGCATTGACTTGCCTTTGAAGGACGGGACAAGACTGAGGGGCGAGGTTCATCCGGGCTGGACTGCAGATGCGCTTATGTGTGAACTGACCACAGTTGATCAAAGATGCATACAAGCAGTTCGGTATCCACTCGGATGACAGGAACAAGGCCGTAGTGTGTCTTAGGAGCGACCAACACGAAGGGACCGACCTGTACGCCATGAACTGTTTGCCTTTCGGAGCTAGCACGTCAGTGCACTGCTTCAACAGGGTGGCCAGACTTGTGTGGGCCTTGGGAGTGTCGAATATGAGGCTACCGTGGGTGAACTACTTCGACGACTATCCTCTTGCGACGCCCAAGGGGAGTGCAACGTCTTCAATGGCTGCTGCCGTCACAAGCTGAGGTGTTGGGGATCGTTGTAGACTGTGGGAGACTTAAGGAAGGGAAGCTCATCCACTCTATGAAAGAAACCCGTAGGACGGAAGTGTTAGACACCCTGAATTCCATCCTTTTGGATAGAAAAATAGTGCCTGTGACTTTGCCTTCTTTCCTTGGTAGGGTTCAGTTCGCAGACGGCCAGTTGTCCGGAAGGGCGGGAAAGCTGGCCATGGCTGACTTGAGGGAAGTAGGCCTTCACTCCAGGACACCCGTAGATCTAGAACCTCAAGCAGTGGAAGCTTTAGAGCTTCTTCGTAAGAGATTCTTGGATAATAAGCCTAGGACTGTGGACCTTAAGTGTAACGAGAAGCCGATTGTGGTGTTCACAGACGGCTCCTTTGTGGCTCGAGTAGGAGGCGTCCTTTTGGAAGAGGGACGCCAGACGCTGGTGTTTGGATGCGATGTCCCTCAGTCCTTGTTGAGCTTGTGGCATTCATACAACTTTATGCCATTGTGGTCGCAAGAGACTTGTGGAAAGAGCGCTTGAGGCTCAAGAGAGCCATCCTGTTCATCGACAATTGAGCAGTCTTAGATTCTTACATCCCGGGGAACTCTAGGGATAGTATGTGGAGACAACTACTGATGAAGATTGAAGAAGTAGATGCCGATTCTCCTTCTTTCGTGTGGGCGGCCAGAGTGCCTTCCGACTCGAACGTGGCCGATCTGCCGAGCAGAGGGAGCCTGAATGGCCTCGACTTCCTAGGTGAGATTTCCGTCGTAGCGCCGGTCTGTCCTTTGACCTCTGAAACGATGGTTTCAGTTGTGAGTGCTGAAGCGAAATTGGGGAACAGGACAGTCCAGATGTGGACGTAAGATGCGATGGCATCAATGGTGTATGTTGACACAAACCCCAGTTCGCTGCGAGAAAAGAATGGTTAAAGAAATATCAAAGGACAGACTATAAAAAATATGAATGAAGAATTATGAACCTATATTGAAATCGATTTGATGATATAAGTGATGAACCTCGTCTTTTAATTTTGAACCTCTAACTAGGACCATAAGATTGAAGTCACGTAGTGATATCGCTTTATAGTCCTGTTAGAGCAGGGAGTGTGTTCTCGACCGGTTCAAAAAGTGATGTGACAAAGAGTTGTCGCACGGGCGCTCGTATGCATGAGATGATTTGAGCATGTGTGATACATGCGGATGTGTATGTGTTTTATATTTCACCCATAATGATCAACGATATAAGAACATGCGCATGTGTATGATGTCTCATGCGCCCTACGTTTCACTCAATGATGTGTCACGAAATGTTGTCCGACGCAGTATGGGCTGTGGAGGTGGGGATCCGTTGGTAGAATCCTTCCATTTTTCCCGCCCAAACTTCGTTTATCCCACCCTGGGCAACAGGACAAACAGGACAGTCCAGATGCAGTCCAGATGTGGACGTAAGATGCGATGGCCGCAACATTGTATGCTGACAAACAGGACGGTCCAGATGCGGACGTAACTCCAGATGTGGGCGTAAGATGCGATGGCATGAATGGGGAACAGGACAGCCCAGATGTGGACGTAAGATGCGATGGCATCAATGGTGTATGTTGACACAAACCCCAGTTAGTTCGCTGCGAGAAAAGAATGATTAAAGAAATATCAAAGGACCGACTATAAAAATATGAGTGAAGAACTATGAACCTATATTGAATTCGATTTGATGATATAAGTGATGAACCTCGTCTTTTAATTTTGAGCCTCTAACTAGGACCAAAAAAATCCATAAACAAGCATAAAATATAGAAAACAAATAAACAATATAAAGTGCGATATTGTGAGCTGCTGTAAAAAATCCTTTCTGTTTGAAACCCTTCTGTTTCAAGGGGTTGGATTTTTTCAGTGATGGTAAGTTGGAGGCCATCGCTAGTACGGTGGAGGGCCATCGCTTGTAGGGTGGAGGCCATCGCTAGTAGGTTGGAGGTCATCGCTAGTAGGCTGGAGGTCATCGCCAGCAGGGTGGAGGCCATCGCCAGTTGGTTGGAGGCCATCTCTTCTAGGAGGCATCGTTAGTAGGTGGGACGGCCTTCGCTAGCAGGTTGAAGGCCTTCGCTGGTTGGCCATCGCTAGTAGGTTGGAGGCCATCGCTAGTAGGGTGGAGGACCTTTGTGCTCACCTTTGTGCTATGTTGTCGCGGGTGTTCTGCTGTTGCACCTGCGCATGCTTTGTCCAGGTCTTGTTACTTCGTTTTTCCACTGATGACCACAACTAATTTTTTTGCCCTCCATCAGCTGGGCTGCCGCACAAAAACTGTTCATGCATAGCAAGCACTGTAACTACTGTGCACAGGTTCGATCATCTTCAAGTGAGCGAAACATGAGACTTCCAGCAATGGGTTTTCTGTGACGGTTGACAAGGTCACTGAAGTGTTCAAATGGAGAGACTGAACCCGAAATGCCGGTGTTCAAACCACCAACACTTACTTATACACGGCAAGGACGCTACTAGTAGCTCCTGGCACTACTACTAGGAACAAGAAGCTACTAGTTAGGAACAAAGGGCATCGCTACTAGGAGCCAAATCATTAGTGCGAGCGCTTTAAGGAAGCTTCCCCCGCCGCGTTTAGGACGGGGGGGAGAGCTTCCTTGAAGAAGCGTGAGCTATCCTCATACTAGTAGCTACCTAGCTACTAAGTAGGGGCCTACTCAATTAAGTAGGGAGGAGGGGCAGCGGGCCAAAAATAATGTCAAGATTTGTTGGAACAAATCGATCAAGACCTCACACCCATTTGCCCACTTGACACTCCACAAATGTTTTGAGTGCACTGGTTACGTGTTCTGTTGGACTTAGTTTACAAACCCAAGCCCAAGGGCTCCAGACTGCAGAACTAGCAGTAACATGTAGTAGCTAGCTTGATAGGTTCATATTTTAGGTTCGAGTAATTTTATGCCATCTTGCAGGCTATATCCCCTTGGAGCAGCGCTTCAACAAGAGGAACTAGAACAAGCTGACTTTGCATTGCGCATGAGCAAAATCATGTGCAGAGTTGCTGAGGGAAAGAACAAAGCATGCTCGACAGAGGTTGCAGTCTTCCAGGCTTTGCACCTGGTCAATCGTCAAGGAGAAGTCAGAAGTTGGGCTGATCATTTGCAGGAGGGGAGGAATTTGGCAAAAGACATGCCGAAATCAAACTTCAAGCTAGCGATGGCCTCCAAGCTAGTATCTAAGAAGCTATGGCCACCTTTTGGCAGGTTCTTTCTTGGCACAACGCCTGCACCTGTTCGCGGCTTGCATGTCGTCCGCGCAGCAACCAGGCCGGTCGCCAATTTTGCATGTCCGTAAAATGTCGTGCTTGAAGAGCACCAATCTTTCTTGGATTCTTGGATCCGGTTCAACACAAGAAGACAACAAGACATTCAGATGTTTGCTTTGAAGAAAAGTTGTAGGTCAAGTGAGCTTCGCCTGGTGTGGGAGCTTCCTACAAGTGATGGGGACTTGCCATTGCGACACGCCCTCAGTTGAGAAGAGAGGGTCAGATCCTTTTGGCTTTGATTCCATTTGCATTCCCCAAACAGCTGTAGCAAGCTACTGCCTTTGTGCGATGTGCTCACGGGGTTGGGATTGTCGGTATTCGATGCGATTGGCCTAATACGTCACACCTTCAACTTGTCATGTGGCAGCAACCCCGCATGCACGCACATATTGATGGACCGCACGGCAGAATTTCTCAAGTCTGCGTGGGTCCCGATATGAACAGCCTAGCAGCGTCCTTGCTCCTGATAGAAGCTGTGACCCGGAAAGCCAGCGTGACTTTCGTTCCTGCTGCCACCCCTGCAGACCACACGTTCGTGATGCCGGTTATGCTGGTCCGGGAAGATTGCAATATCGACGTGGCGGACGCATGTGTACCCCGGGAGACAGACTGAGACCGAGACAGACGCACACACTCCGCGCGGGCGGCTTCGCGAAGCATTGTGAAAATAGCAGCATTTTGCCCAAGCTAGTAGTAACAAGTGCCACGCTAGTAGTAACAGGTGCCTTACTAGTAGTAACAAGAAGCTAGTAGTAACAATCGGTTTGCCGTCACATGTACCTAGTGCCAATGAGACGATCTGAGTGGCGGGGGCGCTCATGAAGGCTCGAAGAGTTTCAAGGGTTCACAAGTGATCCACAGCCCACTGCGACAAAAGTGGCAGAAGAAGTTAAAACAAGTCTTCTGTTTGAACGGCAGACTTCGTACCAAATGCCCGCAGTGGATGGATTCACGCATGAAATTGCAATGCGTCAGTGAGTTCCCGTGTATGTTCTACAGGACGGTTGCGTGCCATCGCTGGAATAGCAAACTAGTTTTAGTTATACTTAATATATTTTTATCGAAGAAATCCTTTCAAGTTTGAAATAACTTTATTGTGCATGTTCTTTGTGGGTCTGGCTGTCTTCTTATTTTGCATGGAGAGGACGTGACTTTGCTTGTTTTTGCCGCCGAGGCGGATACAGGATTGAGGCCGGGTGTCTGAGGAAGAGCGCAATCTTTTATGATGCAAGTTGTGGGTGCTTTCTTGTCAACGGTCTGTTTTGGTGGCTGAAAAGTGCTACATATCTATTTTCACAGTTCTCCTAACTACTCAGTTGTGAATTTGGCATTGACCATTGCTTTGGCCGACCTGCAAAAGGCTGAGCACAATTGGACCTGTCAGATTCTGTTGAAATTCACCTCATCCCCATGGACCCCGTAGCGTTGACTCTCAAGGTAAAGCAAAAGGTAGCGCTTACCGGACTAGCAGGGTTAGCTAGGTAGTTAGTACTATTAGAGCTGATCCTGTAAAATACAGGTTATCAGCCGTAGGCTAGCTAGATTAGAGCTATGGACCCGATGGATGACGACGTCCCACCAAACTCCTACGGAAGTGGCTTTGACATAGTTCCGAGTGTGCCCAATAGTTTGGATGCAGTTCAACGGCATGAACAAGCGGTTGCACAAGTGGCTGCAATGGATCCAAGGGTTGCTTCGGAGGTGTACCAAGAGATGCTAAATAGTGGTGGTAGTGTTACTCTTCAAGAGGCGACACAAGCTACCCTAGCAGGTATGCCGTCAGCCACCGTAGCTGGTGCGCCAACAGTAAACAACTTGTTGGCAATGACTCGGCTCAACGTCGTCAACCTGAATGCAACGCCAAACGACGAAGAACTACGACGGGAGTTACAACAACATGAGTTTTTGCTCAGCGAACAAGCCAGGAGGGAAGCTGAAATCGAGGCATTGCGCTTCAGGAGTATTTACGAAAGAGAAGCTTCCGAATCTATAGCGGCAACAAAGGCTGCCGCAGAGCAGGCAATGTTGAATGTTCAACAAAGGGCCCAACAGCAGGAACAAAGTGTTCAGCAAATGGTCCAACAGCAAGACAATGTTGCAATCAAACGGTTGCAAGGTACATTGGAGGAGCAAAGGGAACATTTTCAGCAGCGGCTAGCTCAGGCGACAGCAGCTCATGAGAAAGTTGTACAGGAAAAGAATGCCATGGCGGAAGAAGGCAATGCTTTTGTTGACAAAATGAGAACTGAACATCACCAGTATGTTGAGCAACAGGAGGCCAAGCTGAAGGCAGCTCTAGAGGCAAAGGATCAGGCAAGACATTCGTCTGCTGAAGAATCCCGGATCGCCATAGAGCTTGACTTCAAGCGAGAACAACTGGACAGTTCGTTAGCAATTGCACAGGCAAAGATCAAAACTCTTGTCAATGAGATGGAGACAACAAATAAGCAATATAAGGTTGATCGGGAAACGCAAGAGCAAACTATAGTTGAGCTTCGCAAGGACAATGCAATGTTGAAGGGTGAAATGGACGAGCTCAGACGTGTTGTACAGTCCTTGACAGACAGGGAAGAGGAACGCAAGGAAGCGGAGCGCAAGGCGCAATCCTCTAGCCCCGTTAAGCCAGGGCCGCAATATCCTGAGCCACTTACACCTTCTGCTCGACAAGACGCTCACCCAATTGGTCAACCGCGATCTTTTGAACCTCTACGCACGGAAGGCACTGTTCCAGCAACATTAGACGGTAAGCCCCGTGAGGAAGGCGGATCCCCTATAAAGACGGCTATGGATGCAACAGCGTCCACGCGCAACACTGGATTCCCATCAATGTTCTCAGGGACACGGGCGCCCGCAGCGGAACAGGCAACGGCCTCTACGGACAGGCAACAATTCAAACAACCGGATCCGTGGACGGAGTACATGAAGAAGTCAGCACAATATAACTTCAGTGATGATCCTTTGTACAAAAGCTCCTTTAATCAGGAAGCAACAAAGACTAAGGATGATCGCAAGGACGAAGGGCCGGCTTCTCAGGTAAGAACTCCACAAGACCAAGATTTGAGGGAAATCATCAAGAAGGCCTTGCTAGAAGGGTTTAAGGGCGCTAAGAGCAAAGACTCTGACAAACCCAAGGCAAAGGAGGCTGATAAGATAGATCTTCCCGAATTCCCAAGTCCTGATAGGTACCGCACTTGGAGGGCCGCTGTTCGCGAAGCGATACGGTCCGCGTCCGATGACCCAGACGCTGCGTTCGCATGGGTGCTTGAGGTGTACGCTGTTCGTGAAGACAAAGCCAAGCTTTGTTCCGAATTGGCTGACCCAGGCAAGTTTCGGACCTTAGACACGAAACTACTTGCTGCTTTAACTAAGGTTGCCAAAGGTGAACTGTCTCAGCAGATCCTTAATTATAAGGAATCTGAGGCACAGCAAGGTAGGATCGTCCGTGGTCGTCAGGTGTTGCTCATGTTTGAAGTCCACTTCAAGACCAGTGAAGAAGCGGGTGCACTGTATGGCACTGAGGACCTCCTCAAGATCTCGCTTGATAGCGACGACTTGAAATCCTTTCTAAGAAAATGGGAGAGTGTTCTGACCGGAATGAGTCATGTCCCAGACCCGGCAACTCTCAAGGATTTGTTTTATAGAGAGGTTAGGAAGTCCCGCAAGCTCAGATTTGACCTTGATGTTTATGAACGAGCGCCGGAGGGAAGTAACGACAGAAGCTATGAATTTCTTATCAATTCTGTTCGACGTTACCTTGACAGGGAAAGGCTCAGGACCAATCGCGAAAAGATATCACAATCACACGCGGCAAAGTTCGCAAACCCGGCACCGCACGACAAGCGCACGCGAAGCCCAAGTTATGGCAAACGAAGCACAAAGGGTGACGGAAGCAATCAATGCTATGAGTATGCCAAAACTGGTAAGTGTAAGTACGGGAGCAGATGCAAGTACTCACACGACTCTAGCGCCCGTCCCCGCTCCCTTAGTCGGGAGTCGTCTCGTTCGCGTAGCGCAAGTCCGAGCAGCCGTTCATCGTTCAGGTCAAGCCGATCTCGAAGTTCGTCAAGACACACTTCCCGCTCCAGTTCAAGGAACTCATCAAGAATCTCCAGTAGAGGGAGGAAATCTGACAAGCCATGCAGGTTCTTTGCAAAGGGTAACTGCAAAAGGGGTGACAAATGCCCGTTTAAACACGGAGACACTGCAACACCAGCCCCGCGCAGAAGGAGTCCCTCGCCCGCAGCTAAAAGGTCTAAGGACAAGAAATCCAAGAAGGACAAAAAGGACAAAAAGAGCAAACGGGAAAAGAAGGACAAAAGTCCAAAGGCCAGTCCATGTATTCAAACAGGTTTCGCAATGTCTTGCTTAGCAGCAACCGCAACTCGGACCCAAAAGAGTAAAGACTACTGGGAATTCTCCAAAGATGGCAATGAGTTGATTAGGCACCATTTGAAGCCTAGGCACAGGTCGTTTCTCCCAACACGTAAATCCTGTCCAGTTGAGTCATCTAGGTTGGAAGACCAGTTTACCATGGTAGTCACTGACTCAAAGGGAAAGAGTAGGACAATCAAGGGTAATTGGAAGAAACACCCAAACGCGAAACAGAAATTTGATTGGACTGGAAAGTCAATTTTCCGTGTTGTGCAAGAGAAGAGAATTCGTTTTGAATTAGAACCGGAGGTACACACCTTTCCTGTTTGGAAGGAAATGTACCGGCATGTAGTGAATAAGAGCAAGAAGCGGAACCTGTTCCGGACCACTGAGGAATGCCCAAAGTCCCGCGAGTGTGACACTAAGGACGCCATTTTGGCAGCGGAGTCACTTAGGCAGATGCTCGTTTCGATGGATACCGAGGAGCCTGCGTGTGATTTCCTTTGTGAACATTCCCCAGAAGGCCCCGATGATTTGTGCTGCACGAAGTGCAGAACAGTCGTCGGAGAACAGGTGCCGTCATGTGCTCGCTTAACAGCGATGCCAAACATGGTTGGTATGGAGAAGTGGCTGGGTGACACTGGCACTGACCAGGACATCGTAGGTAAGGACTCTAAGACAGTCAACAGGGCCACCAAGATATTCAAATCCAACGAACCAATCTCCCTTACTACTGCCAATGGACCTATCACTGCTGACGAAGTAGTAGAGGTGATCTTGCCAGGGTTATGTGAATCCTTCAACCCCTACATTCTCCAAAGTACTCCCTCTGCACTTTCAATTGGTTTGAGGTGCTTAGAACAGGGATATGATTTTGTTTGGGGAAAGGACACTACTCCCATATTTCTTCGACCTGATGGACAATGCGTTAAATTCAAATTGCAAGGTAGGGTTCCATATATTGATGAAACATGTACCCCATTCTCAATTCCTGAATCACTGAGGACTCGCCTTACTAAGGTACTCGATTCCATCCACCAGTTCACCATCGACCAGGGCTACGCCATGGCCAGCCATGAGTCCGAACCCGAGGAAGACCAAGAGGAGGCTGACGAAGCTGGCGTAGATGCCAATGCCGATGATGGACAGGAGGACGAAGAGGACAGTGACCCAGAAGTTGAGGTTCCTTTTGATTTTGAAGACGTTCCCGTAGCAGGGGAGAAGACCGAAGAGCAACTTCGAAAGGAAGCAAAATCAGGGGCGCATCAATTCACACATCGACCAAAGAATCCCTACTGCGATGTTTGTAGCGAAGCTAAAATGCTTGCTCCCTACGGTAGAAGCGTAGGCGGATCACAACATGTTTTGGCGCGTGGGTTTGGCGACCACATAGTGTGCGACCATGTTATTCCCAAGGATATTGAAGAAGGGATAGAAGGCCAAACGTCAATGTTGGTGATCAAAGATGTTTATACTCAATACAGATGTGTTTATCCTTCAGAAAACAAAACAGCCGATTCCATTGTGAAAGCTTTTAAACATTTTCTGAAGACTTCTGATATTGTTGGCATAGTGTATACCGACAACGCTCCAGAAATGCTGGATGCCATAGAAGAACTTGGTTTCAAGCACCAGACTTCTGTTGAATATCAACATTCCACCAAAGCGGTTGTTGAGCGTGAAGTCCGCACCATTTTGGAAGGGGCGCGCTCCAACCTCCTCCAGGCCAACATGCCTCTTTCTTTGTGGCCTTATGCCTCCAAACATCATGCGATGGCCATAAACATTGTAAAACAATTGAATGGTGGTGATCCACCATG